TTTTTAATGGAAATTTTCTAGGAACGTGGTCCCACTTTTAGCTCAAATGCGCTGGAACTTTGTCGCAACAGTTTTTTAATTATAAATCAATTAATTTCTGGCAAACCGTTCAAATCCTTATTAAAAATATAGACACCTGCTACTCAAACTTAGGAATTCATTAAAAACTGTCTGATGATGACCTGCAAAGGAAACGTTCAGACTTTCACGTTTTAAGCGTTATTTCGCGACGATTACAGTACCGGGAAGGGCTTCAATTAAGTGGTTTAAAAAATGAAAATGCTTTCTAAGAGTGAATGTTGAAAGACATCTTAGCAAAGATGGAAAACTCAATAATTAAAAAAAAAATTCCTGATGACGGTAACAAATTGAAACTCGTAAGAACTCACTTTTTGCTGTAAAACGCTGTCGTATTGAATTCTGCCTAGTTTAGTTTCCAAAACACTTCCTACTAAACTTAGCAATTTGAACCTATAAATTCGAAAATATAAGAAGCACGCCTGATGATAACCACTATCCGAAACTTTCAGAGCTTCACGCTTCAAGAGTTTTTAGGCCAAACAAAGTAGCAAACACCTTGAATAATTCAAGTTAATTTATTTACCTATCCGAAAAAGCGACACTTGAAAGCTGCGGTAAAAATCATGGAAAAACTTAAGAATTCATAAAAAAATCCTTGATTATGATAACAGATTGTAAGTTGCAGAACTTTTAGAACTCACTGTCTGCTATCAAACGCCGTTTCGCATTGGATTCTGCCTAGTTTAGTTTCCAAAAAACTCCCCACTAAACTTATCAATTTGAATCTATAAATTCGAAAATACAAAAAGCACGCCTGACGATGACCACCATCCGAAACTCTCAGAGCTTCACGTTTCAAGAGTTTTTAGGCCAACGTAGAAAACACCTTGAATTAATTCAAGTAAATTTATTTATCTGGCCGAAAAGTGACTCTTGAAAGCTGCGGTAAGGAACACGGAAAAACTCAAAAATTCATAAAAACATCCTTGATTATGATGACAGATTGTAAGTTGCAGAATTTCTAGAACTCACTGTCTGCTATCAAACGCCGTTTCGTATTGAATTCTGCCTAGTTTAGTTTTCCAAAAAACTCCCTACTTAACTTAGCAATTTGAATCTATAAATTCGAAAATACAAAAAGCACGCCTGATGATGACCACCATCCGAAACTCTCAGAGCTTCAAGTTTCAAGAGTTTTTAGGCCAAACAAAGTAGCAAACACCTTGAATAATTGAAGTAAATTTATTTATCTGGCCGAAAAGTTACTCTTGAAAGCTGCGGTAAGGAACACGGAAAAACTCAAAAATTCATAAAAACATCCTTGATTATGATGACAGATTGTAAGTTGCAGAATTTTTAGAACTCACTGTCTGCTATCAAACACCGTTTCGTATTGAATTCTGCCTAGTTTAGTTTTTCAAAAAACTCCCTACTAAACTTAGCAATTTGAATCTATAAATTCGAAAATACAAAAAGCACGCCTGACGATGACCACTATCCGAAACTCTCAGAGCTTCACGTTTCAAGAGTTTTTAGGCCAACGTAGAAAACACCTTGAATTAATTCAAGTAAATTTATTTATCTGGCCGGAAAAGTGAAAGAGATGAACTAATTCAAGTTCAAATTTTTCAAATTTTTAAACTTCAAAAAAGTGGCCATTGGTATAATATACGATTAAAAACAGGAAAAAGTGGAAAAATTCATAAAAGTTTCTCTGATTACGACACCCAGTTCAAACTTTCAGAGTTGATAGGACACACTTTTTGCTATAAAATGCCGTGTTTCACCACAGAAAGTTCCACCTGAATCTGCTTTAACAACACAAAAAAATCCTGATGGTGCTCTCAACTCCAAAGTTTCATGGCTCACACAACTCATTTTTAGCAATAAATTATATAAAACAGTTTATATCAAGTTATTTTAGCGAAAAAACTATTTTTAGTTTGCAGTTTTTGAGATGATCACTTTTTTGCCAAAGACTCCAAGCGAACAATACATTCATCACAGAGAAAAAAATTGTTAAAGCGCGGAAATTTTTTCAAAATTCTTGGAAAATTAAAGTACGTGAAAATTTTCAGTTAAGAGCAGTTATTTGTAAAGGCCCGATTTTGCGACTGGACTGTCACTAAAAATTTGGAGAAAATGAAGACAATTTGCTTCATATTCGTATAAACGAAAAAGACCGTATAGAAATTTTTCGTTAACCCATATCTCGAATATACATAAACAAACAACTCCTAGTCTCCTAACAAACCTGCAACTACTAATTTCGTTTCTCCATTGTTAGGATCTCGAATAATTCAGCAATCGAGTTTCGAGTCAACGAAAAATTGCATAATCGAGATATTGCAAGCATATAAAACCTTCTTGTCTAATGCTTAGTGCGTTTAGTAATACATTTATTAATTCACAGGGTGCAACTAAAGGGTTCCAAACCCTGATAGGTTCCGGTTCTAGTATGGTAGGCAACATTGCTCAATCATCCAGTGCTGCAAGAGGTTAATTGGGCCTCGAACTTGCGACGAAAGAACCTATTCGAAAAGTGAATTCGAAAAACTTATGTGTATTTATTGTAAGTATGTAAGAAATGTAAAAGTTTTCCAGCCTAAATAAAAATGACAAAAAATCACCTCCTAGTCAACTAACAATGATAATTGCGAAATTAACTGACCAGTTTCTGCCAATGTATTTTTCCACTATCTTGCAAACCATACGATTGTGAGGATGTATGCTTTTATTACTATAATCAATGTATAGATTTTACGGTCTCCTTGCAACAAACAGCATCGAGGAGTTTTCGGAATTGGTTTCCGCATAATTAAATTAACAATTTGTTAAGGTTGTTATTACGAACGACTTGTTTTTGTTCCCTTAACAATAGATCGTGATATATAGAAATATTACAATCCTGTTGTTTATAGTCGCATGTTTCTGTATATTACGATGCCATGATCAATGTAGATATATAGACACTATTTTAGCAATTTATTTGTCGCTTACTTTGTGAATCGATGTCTTTTACCTTTTTTTAATTTTATTTTATTATCGGTCTGCTTTCTTATTTGTATTGTACATAGACCTGAACAGTTTTTCTTGTAAATTAAATTTCCTCCTTTTCTGTATGATATATGTAATGTGTAAAATGTAAATAGAGATTTTAATAATTATGATTGACTGTTGGTTTTTACTTCTATTTCTCCTTATTTGCCCATTGAATTCCATGATTTTTCTGAAATGCCACAAAAATCTGATTATTCCAGCGCCTATTTTCTGTTCACTGGATCGAAAAGTTGCAGCATTTTTTCGATAATTTTGGCATTCCAACTACCCAGAACGTGTGTGTTGTCGCACATGCAACTGAAGCAGAAACACCGATCAATCATGTTCCAGGACATTGTAGTCAGAGCAATTAATATCAGCGTGTGCATACAATAAATCAAAAGTATGCATAAAATCTAGTAAGTTTTAGTCTGGGCGATGTGGAGGAATTACAAAAAAAAATATTTTCTCTTGCGCTACTCTTCATTCCATAGTTTGTCATTATATTCGCTTCCGAAAAACACAATTGCCTTGATAGCTTTTGGAGACTTTTTTCAGTTTCATATTCCTTTGATTGTGCTCCAGTTTCTGATTGTTTTGCGTCTACGCTTCTTTATCCTGATCTTGTATTTGCTTCATTTTCTCAGTTCGTCACTGCTTTCTCTTTTACCATCGTTTAGTTCTGGTTACATTCACTTAATTAAAATCCAGACGTTTTCATAAGTTTTTCTCAGTTTTGCTTACATAAACTTTATATTCATTAATATCATCCATGTTTACCATTAATTTTCATCGTTGCGTTTTGTTTCTTTTGCGTTCTTCATCTTCTTAGTTCTCCAGTTTGCCACTATCTTCTTCCAAAATCACTAATAAAACAGCCCAGACTAAAAATTGAAAATTTATACCTTGTTAATAAGAAACGCCCACGAATCTGTTGTTCAAGCATGGATTTTCCACTATTTGCAATGGTAAATATGTATCGATTGCTATTGGAAATTACGTAAGAATAAATGATCCAAATGACCGAATGAATATTCAATCTCGGACTGGGATGTCCACTTAGATCACGGCTGTTGCAACTTTTATTTTGTTTGATTAAGCTGATCAGACGCCGGAACTAAATGGAAATTATTTTTAGCCAAGAAAAACCCTGGGTTTCAGGAGTTTTTCGTTTAGGGTAAATTACCTAAAAGAAATATGGCAATAATCCAGACCCAAAAGAAACAAAACCAGACTTTAAAGATCAACAAGTTGCATTCTTGAAATATCTGCATCTGCATAGGAGTGTCCATACCAACTTATCCGCGGTTTATCTGAGACGAAACAAACCGAGTCTTAACTAGCAACTGTTTTTTGTATAATCTTTCACTTGTTTCTTGTTCTATACGAGCCAACTGGATTCGAGTGAGGCCAGCGTTGCTGAAAGTAGGCCGAGCCCAGTAGATCTACCATCGCGTAACATTCATCGTCTAAAGCTCGAACTGCGCGGATTGTAGCAGATTTGCGCATATTGTTATTCAATTTTTTGCCATCAAGTGTTTTCTCTCAAGAAAATTGTGCTTTTGGTTCGGTTGTTGCGGCTTTTCCGGCACCGTTAATGGTGGATTCTGATCGGAAAAAAGAGTTTTAGCGGCGTGTTTTTCAAACTGATCTCAAAGACTATGGTGTTGGGCGATCGGCACACTGCCATGGAGTCGGTAAGTTGTTAAGCAAGATCTACGGCTTAGAGTTTTTGCACCAAAAAAATATATTGCTAATACTAAAAAAACTTTAATCAATCCAAGCTGGATGCAGGAAATGTTTCGTCCCAAGAGGATTTAGCGGAGCTTCAGGTTACTAAATCTTCCACCGCTCGTTGGGTTTTACACTTGTGTCTTTTGCTTCTGGTTAATAGTTTGGAAGTAGCCACTGGCCATTCCTCCAGAATATTGGCACAGAAAAACTGATTTGACTGCATGCATTTATATAATCTCTAACATGTAATAAAAGATAACAGTTTTGCATGTTTGTTTAAAACAATTCGGATAAATCGGCTTGTCAGCTCGATTAATTGTTACTAATCAACTTGACCAAATATTGTTGCGACACAGCGACTTATTCAAAAATATATTCAATCTGAATTACATAAACAAGTCAAAGGGGTTATCACTTAGAAACAAACAGAGCACTTTCATCCAGTGTTTTTAATCAAAGATATGTTTTTTTTCTCAATATCAGTGAATACCTGCTTGGTCTCTTACTTTGCCGATCAACTGTTTACGGTGATACTGCGAAAACAGTACGCTAATCGGTCTTACGTGTTCTTTTGGAAAAACCTACCAGCCTTGAAAGCTGACAATTATCTTTCTCTTTTGAGCAAGCGGCAAGCGCAACTCTGCGCTAGCACTAGCAGAAGACAATCTTCGGCGTTTCTTGCCATTTATTGAAAAAGGATTGGAGAATATTCGGATTTTTGTTCTGTAAAAAGTTGTCTGTATTTTTTCATTTCGCTCCTTAATTGTCATTTATTCCTTTTTTCTGATTTATTTTCCTGACTGCGTGTACTTGTTATAATATTCTTATCTTTTCTGGGTCTCAGTCAAAGTGTGAAGTAAAAATTTTGAACATCGTTTATTTCATTACGTTTCGGCTAGACAACAGCGCCATCATCAGATTTAAAATTTACACAAACTCATGATTAGTAAAAATCAACGTTCTTTTAGGTCTTTGAATTCTTGAAACCTTAAATTTGTCTGCTTAAATTGTGTAAATTTTAAATCTGATGATGGCGCTGTTGTCTAGCCGAAACGTAATGAAATAAACGATGCTCAACATTTTTACTTCACACTTTGACTTATACCCAGGAAAGATAAGAATATTGCAATCATTATTTTCTTTGTTTTTGCTATTTTCATTTCTGTCCTCCTATCGGCATTTACTTGCAACAGGAGCTTGATGTGCTTTTCTCAACATTTTCATCCGAAACATTATTTTGTTGTTTCTCTAATTTTTGTCCATTAAATTGTATTTAGCCAAATTTATTTTGTCCAAACTTTTGCCTAAGCTGCTTCAAGAGGTAGAAATTGAATAGTTTTTCTTCACCTGTTTTCATCTCACTAAAGATCTTCGCTATTTTCTTCCTCGTTCTTGTCGCTGATTTGTTTTTTTTATACACAGGCTTATATTGGATAGCAGATACAAACTCAATCAAATTCTTACTCAGCTCATTTCCTACTTATTTACTTATTAATTATTTAGCCAATTTATCTGTTAGTTCATTTTTTCCTCTCAATTCTTCTGTTGTCTATTGATTTTTAATCTCTTGTTCATCTTAGCCTCAATATGCTATGTAAGGTGGAAGCTCAATAAAACTTATTTTTGTTTCCGTTTTTCTCCGTCACTTTTTTAAGAGCCGCTGATTTGAGTTTTACTCGATTTGTCGATGATTTTCTCTAGCTCGTCTGCTTTTTAACTTGTGGGCTTTTCTTCAGCTCATTTTCTTTTCATTTACTTGCTTCTCACAGTCCTTTTTTCCTCCAATTTTTTTTCATCTCTTGCTCATCTTAGCCATAATCTGTTTTTATAAGGCAGAAGTTCAATAAAGCACGTTTTTAGTTCTTTCGTCTCCTTTATTTCTTTCGCAACTACTGACTTCTTTTTTGCTCTATTTTTCTTTCATTTCCTCTCGCTCATCTGCTTCATAACTTGTGAAGCAGATAGATAATAGATGATTTACTTGCTACTCGCAGTCATTCGTTTTTTTCTTAATGTTTCTGTTGGTGTCATTTCTTCGTCTCTTGTTCATATTTGGCCAAACCGCTACTTTTTGCTTTCATTCATTTGAAGCCAAGTTTATTCATTTTCAGTTTCTCTTGTTCATCTGCTTCCTTACGCATCTGCTTCAAGCGTGTATACCTACCAGTTGGAATTTTATTAGAGTTTTCATTCATCTCATTTATTTTCAATCACTGTCTTAAAAGTCATTGTTTTCTTAGACTCAATTAACGTTTTTGTTCATCTACTTGTTCACTTTGGTTTCAAACCGTTTCACCAAATCCAAGCTCAATCGAGCGGCTTTTGTCCTAACAAAGGGTATTGTATGTATTTGTATTTATTTCATTGTCTAATTTATGCTCTTTTTCGTCTTGCTGATTTAGTCCTTCACAAAGTAAATTTCAAAAATGCTGACAAACCGAACAAAACTTACTTGGGAAAATTAAGAATAAATAGACCAAGAACAATTATTGCGCGCTGGTGAGACTGACTGTGTCTGTGCATGTAATGGAATTTTTGTACACATTTATATTTAATTTGTTTAAATCAGCGTTCAAGTTAATTAGTCAAGATGCGAGTAAACAGATTAAATATGACAACAGAAAAAACAATTGATGGTTATTTGCACGATTGTTCGAACACCTAAGGAACAATTATAATAATAGCAAATAATTGTAGTTAATTGTATTCTTCCTTCCGGATTTTACCTCAATTTTTAATTTACCAAACCTGACCAGATTACTCGAAAAACATTACGGTAAAAAGCTAAAGAAATAAAACAGGGGTTTCGTCGATTGGAATAAAAACAAATACAGACAGATCGATAAGTATCTGCTCTTATCACAACAACAAGATAAGTTAATTGTAGTTTTAATTACAATTACTAGGAGAGAAAGCCTGCTAATCGCATATCTGGAACGTGTGTGTGATTGGAGAAGATACTTATCTCCAGCCATTAAACTCTAAAAAATTTTTTCTACTTTTTTATAAAGCTACATGGAGTGTATTTGCTTGTTTTTGGCTGTGTTTTTGAACCAAACTTGAACACATTGAAGTAATAACGCATTCGATTCTAATGGTTTTGCCGATTCATTTAGAACAGAAAGCCATTTGCATGCACTAAAATTTTAATATTGCGCAATATTTTCGCAGAGATTAGCGCGCAATTATAATAATGAAAAACGATAAGATTGCCAAAACAGGCTAATAATTCAGTAAAGTCAAACTCAAATCCCACTTTGAGACATGAAATTGAGACCATCATCTGAGTTGGAGTTTTCGCACTTTACACGACTGATTAACGTTTTATTCAACTTTCTCTTTTCTTTCTGTGAAACTGTTAATCGGATGACGTGTTGGGCCGTAGTATTTGGTAAGCGTTTCACCAAATTCCAATTGATTTTTACGTAACGTTATACAAGAATCAACTGTACTGTAACTGCTCAGTTTTTATTGTTTTTCAATTAGTGCACATTGCCAACCGCAGGATCTATGAAATAACTGCGTTCAAAAAGCGTGCAATTCGGTCAAAAAATTACTGCAAAATTGAGTTTATTTGGAGATCGGAATTAATACAACTTAAGACAGTGGAATTGATTGAAAAACACGCGCAAATGTAGCCTTATCTGACCGTGATTTGAAGCAATTGAACTTGATTATTTCATAATGGTTATCAGTTAGGAAGGCGATTTAAAAGAAATCAGTTTTTAGCTGATTTGAGAATCAAGCAACAACAAACGACAAAGATCAACTTTTCAACAGGAATTTAGAGCGAAAACTATTCCGATAATTATAATTTTTGCTTTTGGCCTCCGCCACATCCAGACTTATGTCCACTGGACTTTGAGTTTGCGACAGTTTTCAAACTTTCCAAATCATTGACGACGTTTTTCGAGAAACATCACTTCGAAATCTGCTCTTTCAAACCCACGTCATTACTTGCACAAAATCACATTGAGATTCGTGTGAATCGATGGCGAACTTTAAAAAAAACATTGAATATAATGACGTCAGTCGTGTGCTCAGTACGAAATTCCCCCATGAGAAAAAAATGGCAGCAGGATGGCGGAATAATAATAATACCGGGTCTACCAATCTGGTATGAATTACTGTCGAATCGCGTTCTATAGAGTGAACTAGTTTCGGTAAATCTTCGCTAAAATTCGCCAGAATTTATGGATCTTTTCTAATTTGGTAAGAACATTCAGCTAACTAAATTAAATTATTTTTTTTTCTCATTGAATATTATCGGTTAGGGCCCAGTTGGACCGTTTTCATACATTAAAACAATATTTCCTTGGATATTTTTGGTCTTAGTTTGGCTGAACATTGAAGTTTTTTTGAAGAATATTATATAGACGCTATGGATTTAAGAGTAGAAATGGCTGTAGCAGGTTAATCTTGTACTTTTATTTCGAAGCTGTTTTTTTGTGGTTAAACGAAGCTTCTTCAATGTGAGCAAAGAAAAACGAAAAATATTTTCGTTTTTACAGTTTCCTTGAATAAACTTCGCTGAAGTTAGAAAACAAGAAAGGACATTTAAGAAAATACACAATTTTTTTGCAATTTACTGGGCACCAAACAAGATTAAATCCAGGTACAAGGATTAACCCAAGCCAAAATAAAATTATAATGTTTACACATGAAAAGTGAGCGATTGATGGCGAAAAGATCCAAAAATTTGAATTTTGAATTGAATTTGAAAGCTGGTTTCATAATATCACCCACGCAGATAACGGGCAGAAAAACTGAACTGTAAAATTCTGAAAGAAGTAGACACCAACAAAACAAAAAGATACATAAAAATTTGAATAAAAATTCCCAGGACCAAACGGACATATAAAGGATTAGATGCGAGGACGACACCAAAGTGATCGCACATGCACCAGCAGCTAGCAAATATTCAACGCAAGATTAACCAAACTAGTAGCACTCCCTGTACGTTTTATGATCTTAAACTTAAAACATTAGTCAGATATCAAGGTGAGCAAAAATACCTTGTTATAGCAAAAAGAGAGGGAAGGATGGAAAAACCGTGACACCGAACAAGGACAGGAAGTGTTTTTGATTTTTTTTCGTACGTAACGTGCAGAATCACGTTGTGCGTAAGAACATTACGTCCGCATAGTGGTGATGTGGCGATCTTGATTACTGCAGATTTTTGGGGTGCTACTCGACGTGCTTTAACTGGTAGGCGATTTAATGGAGAATCATCCTGAAAACAGATGCGGAACTTTGCGGACTGTTTGCGTTGAACTGAAAACTTTAAATTTAGATTCGACATACGCAGATTTAGTTTAAAGGAAAATAAATAATCGCCGAACCGATAAATGGCGAACATATTACATAAATACGAACGTCAAAAGCTCGACCGGTCTGTTTAGATCCCTGCCTTAATGTAACAAGTGTGTTTGAAGTTGCTTCCATAAATAAATTACTATAAGTGATTGCAAGCAGAGTGTCAACGCGATTATTACAAAACCCATTCAGTGTCCCATTGTCTTCTCGTTTATTAACACTTTGTTATTGCAAAGATTCACCTTTTCAGGTTCAATAGTGTAATCAATGTTTTTAATGTGAATTAGTCTGCTACGCTGTAAGTCATGTTTCAAAATCCTTTTCAATTTGTCTCCAATTTTCATTCTCCTACTATTCGTCTTGGTCTAAACCATCTTTTTCTAGTCCCAAACTTATCTGATTATCAAAAATCTGATCATTTGCATTTGTGTTTCAGATGCCACAAACCGTTCCATCTGCAGGATTTACCCCGCCGTGCGACTACAGCAACTTTGCGGAAAACTTTGACTTGTCGCTGTTGCCTGGAGGCGACCAACCGCTATCCTCAACCATCCAGTTTTTCCCCACATTGCCGGAAAAGCGCCCGTCGATACAGCCAAAGATTTTCACCACCTTCTACCCCAGCTCGCCCGAAAACCAATCGACCAGCTCCGATAGTGAGTTCCAGTCGGATTTCCAGCCAGATTTCCAGAAGCTGTTGGGCGATAATAAGAAGTATCTGTCTCCTCAATCGCCCATTCATCTGGAAGTGCCTCAGACCAGTGCTGTTGGACAGCAGGCTGGATCCAGATCGTTGTCTCCATATTCGCCTAGCTCGCAAGGCCTGTTGTCTCCTAATGATCAGTTTGGAGCCTACCGGGAGCAGACGTTTTACCCCAGTTCTCCAGAGTATTCACTGTATACTGGAAGTCCTTCTTCTGTCTACTCCAAGTCGTCTTGCGAGGATTTTCTGCAGACTGGCTACATCAAGGAGGAGGTTCTGAACAACTCCACTTCTCCGCTGCCCAACCTAGTCTCATTCGGGATTAAGGAAGAGAACTATTTGGCAAGCTTTAACCTTTCCTGCCCAGTTTCTCCGGCCATATCTAACTACTCCAGTGTTTCATCTCCTGAGCAAATCCCAAAGCAAGCCGATCTGGCCTTTGAGCCTCTGAAGCAAATCAAGCAGGAAAGCACTGTGGACTTTAGTGAAATCTTGGGCGACTTGCAAAACAATGAGACACTCAGAGGACTTCTGAGCCAAAAACCCGAAGAACAGCTTCTCCAAACCGTACCTGACACACCAAAGGACCATCAGCTGCTCAGACAGTTCCTCAGAGACACGACGTTTCAGAAAAAATTCAACGTCCATCCCATCGACTTCACTTTCGTTAATGGAGACATCAAAATGGAGGAACCAGACCAGGAGGACCTTATTATGGGCTGTGACGAGCAAATTTCACGCGAAAGCATCGAACCAGTGCTCAGTTTAGCCATTGAACAGATGAGGAAAGACGTGGATGATACTTGCACGCTATTGGGCATCTCTCCTGGTAAGTGTTTAAATGCAGAAACCTTGAGTCGCTCATTTAACATATTCTTGGGCAATGTGGACTGATTTACTGGCCGATGAACAGTTAGGAATGACGGCTTTTAAAAAATGTTAAACAGTTTTTTGTGCTTAATGTGAGCGTGGTCACGTCTTGGCAATTTCCAGAGTAATGCAACCTTTGCAAACTGCCTCATCGTGGCTTAAACTAATGGGTTTCCATTATTTTAAATGGCGTTTGCTACACTGATATTGAGCATTTGTTAACAGGGAATTAAGTTTGTGTCTGCTTTGTGGGAAAAAGCAGTGTATTCAATTGGAAGTCGAAGATAGTGATTAGGTAAAAACGGGCAAAATTTTGAAAAAAACAGAGCTTGGAGTGGAAGGGAAGAAGTTACAATACTTCTTGGGAAGAAAAGTTTCTTGTTTAAGACTTTTATTTAAAATTAGTAGCCCTTAGTGGTTTATGTTGGTTGATTTCGCTCTGATAACGACACCATTGGACGTTTATTGGTCATTTACGGTTAGAATCTTTTGAACCAAGAAAATTATTCGCTTTAGGCTTAGAAACAACATAATTGAGGCGCTCAAAAGTATTCCTGCTATGGATCGGAACATTGCACAAAAAATCTGCGTTTACCTGGCATTGATAGTTGAACACTCACGGTCAGAGCAATTTTACAAAATCTTTAATTAAATGATTGACATTCAAAATCAACATTTTTTGTCTCATCTGGAAGAACAAAACTTTTCAAACTATTATCGGCATCAATTCTCTGTTTTTGATTCAAATATTCTGTATGTTCATTACCTTCGCAGACACAATCTTCTTCAGTGCTGTTCTATATCGTCACCATCTTCTCCTAGATTCTTTAAGTTACATTTTGCCCATTTATCTGAAGGATTATTCTCAGTTTGGCTCATCTAGAGGAATAACATTTGTCCAAATAATAGGTGCTTCACATGCCTATTCTTCTTCCAAATGTCCTACGTGTTCATCAACTTTGCTCTTATTCTTCTGAATTTGCCTCATTTTTTCCCAAACCAAAATTGGATAAAATCTCAAAGAAATTCCCTTTTACTAGGCATTGATGTAGCTGATAATCGCTTACTGTTCAGAGCTAATTTTCAAAACGCTTTTTTGAAAATTTTGCTGTAGAAAATAAATGAATACCAAGTTCAAGCATTGAAGACTATTAACGCATTAGGGCCAGGTCGAACTGCTAAGTTTTAATTAAATTATAATGATTCCATCCAGTAAGAAGCAGTTGTAACCGATTCCTTAATTATGGGAAAAGCTCGGGAAGCTTCCAAAATATTTATTCGGTGATTGCGGATAATTTTGCTAATGAATTGAAAATGTGATTTCTCTGATTATACTGTGTAAACATTTGGAATCTCCAAATCATGATCATGTATCAAAACAGTGAAAATTCAGTAGGTGATAATCTAATCGGCTAATTGTAGGTGGTCGGAAACTGCGTAGCGTTCTGAGAACAAACCTTATCAGCCTAGCCAAATATAGGCCTCAATTCCACTGTTAAGTGGATACTCTTGTAACACGCGCTATTGTTAAGAGTTTTTTTGTCAACAGGCTACCGAAGACGTAAACAGCCAATAAAAACTTGTCTCAAATAGGGTGTGGTTTTGGTTCGAAGGCCAGCAGTTAATTTGCCGAATGGTTTGCTGTTTTTTCGCTAATTCACCGAATAAATCTGTTGTTGCTTCAAACAACAAACCGCATCTTTGCGTCTAGTTTGTGAACTTTTCTGCCTGTGGAGCTCAAATGGCGCCAGCTTCTACAGATCTATAGATCTACATACATAAACAATCAGTTCCAAGAACCGCCTTAAACAATCCGAATAGCTTCCAGTTATTTCTTTATACCGACAGTGGGTGGAGCAGTTCCATAAATAACTTCCTATTGTTATTATTTATATTGAGAAAAAATCGAAAACAGCCATTTCATAATAATGTATGGGCGCGGTCAGCAACTACTACTACTAGAGGATATAGATTGTATCGCGTTTTTTCATATCCGAAATTTCATGTAGACGGGAAATTGGTTAAATGATATTGTGATTTGGCACTTATTCAATGCTACTCGTTAAGTTTTTTTCCTTTTAAAAGCCAATTGATTGTTTTATTTAAAGCTCTTTTGTGGGTTTGGTCAAGTGAAAGATTACTATACTAGAATTAAACATTTTTTACTGAGGTATGCAATTATTCTTGCGGGGCTCTGATTTTCAGCATTACGACTGAGCCTTAATGAACCTTAATTATTTAAATTTCAGCTTTTATTGTCGCAAATGTGGCATTTTCGATATGGTCTTTTAGGGCTTCATGCAAATTTATCGACAATAGAATGCCTACGCAATCTGTAAGGGAATTTCCAGTGCATTATTAATTAGAGTCAATTAGAGCAAAAAAATCACACATTTCTCAAACAGGAGTGTTTCAAGGCAATTTCTCAGGGCCGTAGTTATTTATTTTTCATGTTAAAGACACTCCTGAGTGGTTTAATGGTAATCTTACTAAACTATGTGCTAATGAACTTGGGAAACTCTATTCAATTTGCGTTAAGACTTCAAAAGTTTATTGCCAACTATTTATTATACTTAGTGAGGAAAGGCCAGCAAATTTAAATCAAATTAAGCAGGTAATCGTCAATAAATTGATAAATGATTGAAAAAAATCCACGCGGTTAAGCTTTTAATAGTTTTCTAGTTTAATTTCTTTGCTAGTGTTTATTATTTTGCGTTTGTTACTTTGCATTTTTCGCCGCTTTTGCCCATTTCCTTGTTGCTCCGTCTGGAACATTTATTGCGCTTTCAACCTCAAGTCGATTCTCTTTGATGTTTCACTGTCGCAATTTTTCTGATTATTTGTTTTGCTTCGTTGGTGTATTTGAGAAAATGTTCAGTTTCTTGAAATTTTTTTTGGAAAATCAATTGCATAAAAAAGTTTGCGCTTTGATACTATACAATTTTGTTTAAGTATTAATAACGAAAAAAAGGCGGCTTTTTATAAGATCTATGCATTCGGTGGCATTTCGCCATTTTGCTCAACAACCACTTGTTTAACAAAAAATTCGCAAGGGACAAAACATGGTTTAAATTGAATGAAATTTTCCAATTCAGTCCATTTTAAAAAATTCAAAAATAACAAGCGTTTTGTGGCTTGAACGACAGGAAATCCGACGAAAAGTTCCACACGGTTCAGTAATTTTGCCTGCAAACAATCTGTTTATGAAAGCAATACGAAAATCATTGACTTAGAAAAAGTTGAAATGAGAGAGCATGATTATTTTTCAAAAACCTCATAACGGCTTCTTTTGCAAATTTTTCTTCTTTAGCATATGTCGTTTTACTAGACATCTGATTATTTAGTTAATTTTTTGCTTTTACAGTCACTTTTTTGCAGCTTTAACCATTTTGTCCGTTTTTTGAATGCTGTGTTTTGCTGGTATACAGGGTGTCAAAAATTAATTAAGTGTGAACTTTGTAATGAACTTTAGTATGCATTCGATCACATTTTGCCCTTATGCTCAAAAACTGCTTGTTTAACAAAAAAACTTGCAGGGAAGAAAACATTTTGGGTTAAATACGCTTTTCAGTGATCTACATAATTTTGTAAAATTCAGAAAATAAACCCACGTTTTGCATTTATCAGTGATTTATAGTGATTCCTAAGTTCAGAACATTCTGTTGCAAACACCCTGTACATGAACGGAAAAGTAACTCAAGAGCTTGACGAAAATGCTCTAAAAAATCATCGAAACTGCAAAAACCGCCTTAATTAGGGATTTTGTAAAGAAAAACCCGAAATTACAACCGACTAAATGCTGCACACTTCGAGCTTTGAACAATGCCACTTTTCCACCCCATTTTCATGGGGAAACCTATTTCAATGCAAATAATATTTAAAAAATTATTCTAAATCAGTTTTCCCTCTAATATCTAAAATCACTTATTAAAAGCCGCGCCTTTTTGTGCCGATTTTGTGCTTATAAAGCCGCATTTTCAGATCCATCAAAATGGAGCCCTGCAGATGTCCTGTCTTGGATCCGATGGACGTCCAGACAATTCAACTGTTCGGAACCGGTAGCTGAAAGTTGGGACATGTCCGGTACAGACTTGTTGGCGCTATCGGAAAAGGACTTTACTAGCAGAGCTGCACAGGTAAATACAAGTTGTTTTGCATACTTGTGAAAAATTATCGCATGTAATGGCGAAACGCCATTAAAACCTTATAAAACATTTATCAGATTTATCTAGCTCTTTGACCTAAATACCGACAGAACACACCTTAAACGCGATGCAATAAATAATGTGGCCTTAGGGCGATTGTGTTGGTTGCAAGTGATAATAATTGTTGGAAAATGAAAATGTGTTTTCTCAGTTCATAGATTTACGCACGTAAATGCCTAAATTTGTCGGTGATTACATCAAAATCTATTTATTAATTAAATAGTTTGCCATGAAACTAGTTTGAAACGTACAATTCTTTCATTGAACAAAGAAAAACTGTGAGTCACTTCACTGAATAATTACCATTAACTGTTGCTTAATAAGTGAGCAGCATTAAGCTTCAATCGTTCGCAGGATTAAAGCAAAGCTAACAAATCCGATCTTTAACGGGTTTTACCTGGAATTATCAATATCTATTATTGGTAGCGTTTCAATTATGTCATATTTCCTCGAATATTGCCTGAATTCAACCTTTAATTACTGCAATTAAGCAATGATTCAACACGTTGTGTTCTCTGGTTTATTGCGATTTTTGCTCAAACAGTTTTTTCTCAATTATCTATTTCATCTCGCTGGTACCTTTTGAGAAAGTAAGTAAAAGTCAAAATTGCTTTGTTACCAAGTCAACAAATTGCGCATTCCACATTTGAACCTACTCGTTTCTTCTGGCAATGTCGTTCACCGACCTTTAGAAGAATGTCCGCTCGTCGAGTGGGGGATGGAAGAAAGAAGAAATTTATGTTTGTATATATTTAAAGGAGAAAGTTTTGGTTCTTCGCGACCCACATTCCTAATCGAAAACCACATGGAATTCGTTTTATAGGCGATTTTCCGCGCCTTGTTGCAAATTGGCTCGTAAAAAACAATACCACTGCGTCATACGGTTTACATGTAGATCATGGTACGGTATTTTGCTATTGTTTTGCGTAATCCCTATAAGATCAGTGGAAAGTTTTATGTAATTTCATTAGCTAAATTCTCTTTAACCATCGCAGAGGAACCGACCTATAGAGCCTTAGAGACAGAATCTGCAATTTTATTTATTTTATTTTTGCCTCAGGCTGGCGATTAAGACTGTGAGATTTAATTATGTACTAATAGCATCGATTTAAATGCTAGATAAACATACAAGAATGTAAATAGTCTTCTTTCTGAGAACCAAATTTTACACACATTTCACAAATTTGGCTGGCAAAACAGGCTTTACAAGTTGGAAAGTATTAAAAATGTTGCTCAGTTCTTGAAGCTAAAAAATAGTTGTTGAGCAATAGAAACGAAAACTCCGCAAGTAAAATTAACAACAAAGCTGTTGTAATATTTGTAAGCTTTTATTCACGTTGATTTTTCGTTTTAAATTCCACGAGAATAATAAATAACTGTTACCTGCCGTCTGCTACCTGTTAATTTGGATGACCCACATCTTTTCCAGTGCTGGTAGAAATGAAAAGTAAAACCGAAATCGCTGCCTTCCAAGAAAGATGATGCCATTTAGCACACGATTTTTTTTGCAAAAACCTGCTGAATAACGCTTGAGAATTTATTTTAGTAATATTTATGCATTATTTTAATTATTACTTTTTATTTTCTTGAAAAGGCTCAGGATTATTAAACTATTCAGACATCACATTCGTTTTTTATTTCAACAAAATACCATTATAAACAAAGAAAATTTGATTTTTTAAATTATTATTTTATGGTTTTCGGTTTTCATTACCAATATTGTTTTTGTGTATTTTTTGTGTTTTGTTTTTACTATAGTCTCCAATATGTCGGCAGGAATGTTGGTGGCTTGAAAATTAGTTTGTTTGCATCAGTTCTTTTGGCAGACTTTGTTTCAATATTTTATAACTCAACTATTAAATATCCCAGAAAGGAATCATCTGTATCACTGGATCGACAACAAAGCGTTCTAGTTAAGCGTAAAGTTTCATATTTCTTATCCATTCGCTGATTTTTTTACAATTTTTCGAAAAGCCTGTTGGCCACCAGTAAGGTTCAAGAAAATTTGTAGGTTTGATTTTTATAATTAATCACTTAACAACCAAAATCTTCAGAACTCTGACCACCATTAAATAGCAGAAGGTGCACTCTATGCGTGCAGTTTTCGTGGTTTTGAACCGTGTTTTGGCTGATTTTTAGCATATTTTCAAAAATACGCTTCAAAACTTGTTCATCTGGGTCAGTTCATTTTGAATACTCTGGTTCAATAATAATTTCACCCCAAAAAATCTTCGAACGATGGTTTTAGCATAATTTTAAAGAAAAATTGATTGGATTGGAGAAACTTTTTTGACTTAAAAATAATCTGCCAGATAACTTCCTTTTACGTTGCTCAGCAAACTTTGCGGACCTGAATTCAGTAATTAATTTCCATTTGTAACTCAACAGTAAAAGTAAACAGTAAAATACCATTTGTAACTCAACAGTAAAATACCATGGTTGTTACACCATTAGATAGCGAAAAGCACTGGCTATTACTGATAAAAGTTTCACTTTTGGGTGTCGATTGGGCAATTTGTGGCAATTTTTTGAAAATCGGCATGCCAACTCGTTTGTTCGCTTCAGAAAATTCTGCGTGCGAGAATTAAGTCCGCAACACATAATTTACCAAAAGCATTCATTTTTGCACTAAAATATAACAGAAAGCAGGTGCTATACTTGGCGTAATTTTAGTTGAAACCTGCTTGGAAACATGCACTTTGCCAGCACCAGCTTATTTTCAAGACTTTGTTTAAATAATTAATTAGTCAACACCTTGATTTTTTGACAATTTGCCGAAAATCAGTTTTACTGATTGCTTGTTTGCTGCAAATCGCCTGGTTGCTTCCGAACATTATGCGTCCTTTATTTCGTTAATTAATGTTTCAACAACGAACTTTTCCAAAGCATGATTTTGAACAAAAAATAGAACAATGCGTGCTGAATGGATGCCTGGATTTTCATTTAAATGGCTTATGTGGACAATTTTTGACGTCATCAAATCGGCTTGAAAAAATTATTCTTTGCGTACATCAGCTTATTGTGCATACCTTGTTTGGAAAACTAATTAGTTAGCTACCAAATACCTCAGAAGGTTGCTTTTTATACCCTTGTATAGAACAAATTACTCACCATTCGACTGGAAAGTTTCAGTTTTATAATTCTTTTGGTGAATTTTTGACCATTTTGCTAAAATCTTCGCAATATCCGCTTTGGTTATTACAGCAAAAAAATTGCAGTCTTGACTAGGGTAATTAATTTTTCAAAAATAGAACATCCTAAAGTAGTACACACGTATTTAGACAAAAAACCTTTTCTATCTATTCTGCACTAATTGCAACTAGATTTCCATTTTTGGATGATTTGGGGCAACTTTTACTAAATCTGCTTGAACACAGTGTTTGCTCATTTTGTAGACTTTGTTTCAATAATTCAGTAATCCACAACAAATCATCCTAAACTTACGACTTTAGGCTCGTTAGATAGGGAAATGTGAATTTTATTCAGCAACAATATTTCACTTGCGTTATTGTTCTGATGAATTTTTGTGAACTAAACCCGTTTATGGTTTGCTCATTTGCTGCAATAAACTAAATTAGTCTGGCAAATAATTCTGTTAATCCTGCCAACAGGATATTTATCTTAAAGATTAGGGAGAAAGGAGTTAGTCATAATTATGCAATTTGTTTCAGGGTGGCATGATTTTGCACGCCCAATTGGAAATCTGGAAAGCAGCCTATTCGGAGGAGAACCTGAAAAATTGGGTACCAGAAAGCGTGCCCAGTAACGCATCCAGTGGAGATATTTCGGAGGGTGAGCAAACCACTTAAAATTGATTATCGTGGATTCCTGTTAACAAAACAACAACAATTTGAATGCTATAATAAATGCTTTTATAAGTGTTGCGTGACCGAGCAAGCTTTACGATATAACGAGTGGCAATTAGAGGCAGGAATAACAATTTTATTTAACCTTATTACGGGAGAATATAGCACAATAAGAAGATTTTTTCGGTTTCGAGAAACCACATTGCCAACGCCAGCCAAGGCAAACGGGTTCGGCCATTTATATATTTGCCTTTGTTTAAAAATTAGCGGGTTCTCAAGAAAAGCTACTTAGCTAAGCAAACATGCGACTGAAATAGCGCTTACGATTTCAGAGGAAATTACGATCATTACGCGGTTGACCAGCAGAAGCGGTTCTGTTCAAGACGAAAGAAAATCATCAAGATTTGATACTTTTTTTCTAACGAATACCAGAACGGTGACATTTAAGCACGAAAAATCTATATGTAAGTCAAGAGTGGTACCAGCCTCAAGGCCGCTCGACTAGGAGTGGTGCCCCGAAGAGGAAACTGGTTTATCACTTTGTTGTTTGGTCTGCTGGTTTTATTATCCAAAATTTTCTGTTTCAGATGAGGATGACGAGTCGCACCCTCCATCCGACCTGAACAAGCCCAGTACATCTCGCACAGGTTCGCACATTCATCTTTGGCAGTTCCTCAAAGAGCTTCTGTCGAACTCTCAGACGCACGGTTCCTGCATAAGGTGGCTGGACCGGACCAAAGGAATTTTCAAAATTGAAGACTCAGTAAAGGTGGCCAGACTTTGGGGAAAGAGGAAAAATCGGCCGGCCATGAACTATGACAAACTGAGCAGATCAATCAGGCAGTACTACAAGAAGGGTATTATGAAGAAGACTGAACGTTCGCAGCGGCTGGTTTACCAGTTTTGCCACCCTTACAATCTGTAGAGGCTTCACATAAAATACGCTTGGAGGTGAAATCCCAAAGGTTCCAAACAGCAATCGTTGTAGGTCATGTGATCTCATTTTTGCCCTTTTGACAGTGCGGGTTGCTTAAGTGGACTGTTGAGGACACTTCCAAGCCTAATATTAATTGTAATTATGGGGATTAACTAGCGGTTAAGGGTAACTTGGTGTAGGTTTATTGGTACTAGTTGCACTTTGAAGTTATCAAAGTGCTAGAATATCTAGACGAAGTGGGGTATTACCGCTTGCGTCCTGGTATGCGCATTTTGAGCGTGCTTTCGGAAGGTAATTTCCAATTGTTTCAAAATAATTAAAATATTTACCAGCTAGTAAAAAGGCGCCTAAACAACCACAGTCTTGAATGACGGTTTTCGTTTGGAAAACATCCTCGGTGCTCAAGTTTGCCACTTTCGAAGCTCAAGAAGTTTGTTCCAAAAAAACCCGATTTTCCACAGACAGTGAGCTGGTTTTTGCGGTTTTTGGAAACTGGTGATCTTGGTCCCATATATCTATGATATATAATGTAATGTAAGTTCTATGAACGATGAGTTTTATACGTAAGGTTATGTACATTGGAATTGTGGACAATTTTGTATGTCCGCTCTATATTAGTCTCTCTATTAGTCTTTAAGCCAATAATACTCTAAATGGATGTAGATCTGTTGATTTTTTTGTATGTATATTTTACTGATTTTGTATTATCATGACATTTTGTTTTATATATTAACATAAACTTTTATTTATTTATTGAATATTTTAAGGATCTGCGTACGATTCAGCGTTGTAATCATTAATTTTTAGTTATTTATTTTGCTATGTACCTTTTTCACTTTGTCGAATTTTTACCTTCTAGTTTTAAGGAAATACATTTGAAATAACGCTAAATTTGTTTGTATTGATTCATCAACCTAGAACCATCTAAATTAGGAAGCTAAATGAGAAGAATTTTCACAGAATTGTAAAAGATTCGAAATTTTTGCAGACAATTTCGGCAATTCATTAGTCAACAACCGAATATCTTAGAACATTGATTCTGATACCATTGGATGAAGTAAAGAGTTCTCTATTCCGGCGAAATGTTCCATTTTTACCGTTATATTAGCTAATTTTTCTATAATCTTTCTGACTTTTTTTCTATTGCAAAAAACCATGCACACTTAACTTCGATAATTCATTTCTCAAGATCTCAATTTTCGAAAGCTATGATTTTGGCAGCATGATATAGAACAAAGTACGCTCTATACATGCTGTGGTTTCCATTTGAACACATTTTCCGAATTTTTAACAAATTTTGAAAAATTTGTTCGTCGTATGCATCAGCTTATAGTGCAGACGTCGCTACAATATTTAATTAAAGTTTGACTGGTTGACTAAAGGTTGATTTTAATGCTGTTATATAGAGCAATGATAACGCTTTTAAGCAGAAAGTTTCATTTTTGTAATTCAATTCGTGCATTTTTGACAATGTTTCGAAAATCGGCCTGCAAACTTTGTCTGCTTCAAAAAATTCTGCGTACTTGACTTGATAATTTATTTCGCAAAATCTAAATTTTCTAAAGCGATAATTTTAGCGTCGTAAAGTTGAACTTTATAGATGCATCGTTTCCAACTGTATTGTAGAATCGCCAAATTTTTTAATAATGTTTGAAAAATCTGCTTGCAATTGTTCTTTGTATGCATCAGCTTATTGTGCAGACGTGGTTTCAATAATTAATTTGTCAACAACCAAACATGGTAAAAGGTTGATTTTACTGCCATTGTACAGTGAAGAGTGCTCTATTTTACCCAAAAAAATTCAGTGTTGCTGTTATATTTGTGATTTTTTTCACAACTTTCCCAAAAATCTTCCTTACAACCTTTTTGTCTATTACAGAAAATTCTACCGATTTCACTTCGGTAATTAAATTATTAACGTCTGAATTTTATAAAGCGATAATTTTAGCACCCCACAATGGAACAAAGTACGTTCAATAAATGTCGCAATTTCCATTTGTATTCCTCATTTCGTAAATTTAAGACATTTTTGAAAAATTTTGTTTGATTTACGTTTTAGTTTTAAGGAAATACATGAGAAATAACGTAGATCTGTGTGTGTTAATTCATCAACTTTAATTCATCTAAATTAAGAAGTTTTATTAGCAAATCTCCAAAGGTCCGCAGGAAAACCAGATTTGCACCCAATGGAGTCACTAAAGTTTTATCAAAAGTGTTAAGCTTAAGAACCGATTATTTCAATTTTGCCAGTTTTTTATGAAAAACTTGTTTTTTTCATGAGGGTTTTAAACTTTGTATAGCCAAAATCCATTATTGTTAAGAACTTAAAACATTATGTATACGGAAAATGCTCTTTACTCCAGACAAATCCTAGGACAAAAATATTTAGTTAAAATGGCGAGTGAACCTTTTTAACCATCGTTTTATCCTCAGCATCGATTGATCGAAGCTGCAGCAATTTTGGGCGAACTATTAGAATCTGGACAGTTTCCTGGAGAGCACTTCCTGTCTTTGATTTGTGTTTGAAAATTATTTTTTTTTATATCTGCATTTTTGCTTCGTGCTGCCAGTTTTACTTTAGTCTGTTCGCGCGCTTTAACGTACCAACAAACACAAGAACATTCTTCATTTTGGCTTCGGCATTTCCACCATTTTTTCGCTTATACTTCTAGACACCGAATCGTTAAAGTAATTTTCCCATTTTAGAGTACATTTTTTCGGACCCTCCAATGAACATTGCGAGCACTCGACTTTGAATAATCCAGGTACTGAATGTTAAATGAAAGCACAAATTCAATTATCATAAAATCTAGTTAAAGCTGAAGATTGTTTCGAGATAAGAGTCGTTTCCAGCTCATTTCCCGATGAAAAATTCGTTTCCATTTAAAATGAAAATTTTCTTAGGCACATATTTTATCATTTCAGCGGCGCGAAACTCCGAAGATAAGACACCTCAAAACGAAAATTTACATTTTTCCACAATGAAAATCGATCCGACTTTGCCTCTAAAAGAGTATATGTAAATCTGCTCATGAGCCAGTATGCATATCGCAATATTATGTAAATTCCATATTCCTCTCGACACTGATATCTCCATTCTTTTGGGATGCCGACGGAGCTTTCCAGACGCAAAACGCCCACAACTTCATTACCCTCTGGTTTCAAGCAATGTTACTGAGCTAAACTCTTAATGGAACCATTAGACGGCGTCGCAATAGGTCCCAAGGAAATGGGAAAATGGGAAATTACTTTTTATCTTCCATTCCATGCCGAACAAAACAATTTTTCATCGCGCTGCAACCTAATAAAATTTCCCTTCATTGATCCAGTGTTTTAAATCCCGATTTGAAATGTGAAACATCCAGGTAGTTAGCAGCGCTTAAGACAAGCGGACGAGCAATTAGAGTTGTCGCGACTTAATGTGGAAATATTTCAAATTACTCCCGATTACAATACAAAACGGTGCCCATTTAGAATTCCATTTGCAGCCAAATTCGTTGAGAAGAAAATCCAGCTTTTAGTGAAAATTAGAGCTTCGGAACATTCGGAACGAAAGCCTATTTTATTCTGATTTGGGGAGGATAATAAATTGCTGCTTTGCAGGTATCGGTAACTGCTTGATCCGGTTCTACTCCCCCATGTATATATACAAACTGGGGCAGAAATTATTTTTCAGGGTTCAAGTGTTGAAAGAGCTCAAAATTTGGGTTATTTTGGCAACATTTTATGGAGTTGCGAGTGATTTATCCAGTTTTGAGCTCAAGGCTATTGAGTCTTTATTGGCATTTTTTAAATGATTTTTATGTGGAACTGGTTGATATATTTTCAATTTGGTACGCTGTAAAACAAGCAGGCTCTTGAAGCAAAATCCTCAGAACTTCAATAGACGATTTTTTTCCAACTGGAAGCAACCACTCTGTATTTTCAGATTTTTTCATTGCTCAATTTGGCAGTTTGCAACTAGTTTTTCTCTTGAACTTTTCATCTACTGAAAATTGCACGAAAGCGCTTCAGAATGTATTGTAGAAGCCCAAAGCGAAGAAATAATTAAGGGGACTAAATCCCGGCTTTCTGCGGCGTCAATCAAATTTTCCACTTTCTAAAAGGAGAAATAATAAATGCTCGCTCTTTGTAAACTTTCGAAATTTAATAAGGGTGCCATTGAAGAAAATGGTCTCGTTTTCATTTGTGATGGAGTTTTATCAATTTTTCTTGCACGAGAGTGGCAAAAACTTTTTCCAAGAATGCTGTAGATGCTCGTTCTTCTTGTCGACTTATTCTGCTCCAGTTCACCGACATGAAATGGGGAAACGGGAAATTTACTACTTGCTTTTTGTCAGTTGAGAGCAAATTAAAGAAAAGCGTCTAATTAGAATGACTACATAAATCAATTAGAATGGCAAAAAGAACATGGAAAATTGGAGAAAAAAACTTTCACCGGAGACAAAAAAATTACCCGCAAAGAAATGAAGGAATAGCATATGAAGCAATTTTTTTGCGTGAAGATCAATCTTCAAAGCTGCTCAGTCGTAAAAGGAAGGAAGGACAACGCCCCTTAAAGTGAGCGGAGTGAAGGCGAGTGAATGAAGAAATGCCATTACTAAAGTTACGTAACAAAAACTCGAATATTATATAGTTTCTAATTTTATTCCCTTAGCCGGTTTTTCAATGGAATTAAAAGGAAATCGAGTATCCGATTTGTTTAGATTAGCTTGTTGAAATAATTCGAAATATTAGTGGGTTTTTCTACTAATCGATAAAACTCGCAAATAACTAGGTGATGAAGTGAAAATAGCATTTATAATCCCGTTCTAATTAATCGCCCCGTAAATTCCAATAAATTAATAAATATCTCCTTGTGATTTATTTATAACCGCATTTGCCGGTAATGCACATCACGTAAAGGTTAATAGCTAATTTCCAAATAAAATATTCAATATTAAATTGATGTTTAATGCCGGATTTGCATTTGATGTTCCATTTTATTAGGCTGATTAATGTTTGAGTTCGTATTCGCTTAAAAAATGGATCAATAATGGCAATAATGTAGTACCAAGAAAGTTCGGGATTTTTTCGACGACGAGCTTAAAACTTAAAACAGAATAAACATAAAACTGGTAAGTTTTAGGGGATATTAAGCGCTTTTTCCTAATAAATAGTCCATAATGAAGCAAGTAATTAACGGTGTTATGCACTTAAGTATACCGTACATTCAAGCGGATCGATCTTGGCAAGTCAGTCACCTCGTAGTCATTTGATTATTATTAATGCATAATTATCGCTTAATGCATTCCATTAAAGGACCGTAGCGAAAATTTCTCATTTCATTATTGGAAACCTGCTAGTTTATTAATCGTTAAAATATCGAAGTGACTAGTGAAATCAGGTGCGGTAGAACATACGTATGTTGAACCGTTTGATTTTTTAAGTTTTATTCATTTTATACAGGAATGTGTTTAAACTGTTACGATTTTTCGGTTAATATTCAAATACTAAACAAATAAAGAGCTCGAAATTAAGCATTTGATTAATTTTTCATTCAGTTTAATTTAGGTACAAATCGCATGTTTTGCGCCTAAAATGTCAATCTTTGTCCCAAAGTTCAACTAATTTATTTTGTTGATTTCACAAAATACGGAATTTGTTTCATCCAAACATGCAAGGAAATGAGCTGAAACTACGTTCAATGATTGGATTTGATCAAAAACTTCAATTGGATCAACAAACTCGCGCTTAAGACCATAAGGAAAGCTCTTTAGCACAGGAACAATGAGCTTAAGATTTGGTAGATCAATATTGAGATTTTTTCAAATGAAAGTAAAAAGCATCTGGACAGGACATTGGACAACTCCAAATTTTAATGCGGATCGTTCAAATTTCGTTCAAAATTTGAATGTTAACCGCAATATTCATGCAATTGTAAGTCGACATGTTAATTTGTCACTTTTGATAAGTTTTTGGGCATAAATGAGTTTCAAAACTGGGAACAAAAATAATCAAACGGAGCAAAAATATTAATATTATAAAAGGAAAAATATAACTGCATGAGTGGTTACAGCCAAAAACCCCAATTTACATGTTTGAAATGTTGTGAAATTACATGTTTCACCCATAAGAAATATAATTTGTAATGTGCCTATTTTTGGGCATAAATGATTCAATATTTGAAAAGAAGACCATTAAACACTGGATTTAAAGAAACATAGTTAAGTTATACACCTAAAGCTATAAATTAAAGCAGAAAATATTATTATGAAAAGTGTTAAATGTTACATGAACTAGTTTTTCTAATTGTAGTAGTTTAAGAGCGGAACTATTTTGCTAAGAGCCGAATTTAAAAAAAAAATCTGATTATCTTTCAGCAAAAAATGAGTTTTCTTAAGACTAGGGAAACTAAATTCCCATATTTCTCAAATTATAAATTTGACTATATGATTTGAATATTCCTTATGCTCTTCATAATATTCGGCAGATTGAGACAGCTCAAAAATTTGATCACAATTTTCGGCTGTTTGGGATCAGGTCGGTCTAGATTTTCCGGTAAAAAATCAAAGTTTTCCCAAGACTTTGGAAATTAAAGTGCGATATTTCTTAAATTATAAATTTGACTAGATGGTTTTAATATTCCTTCCGATCTTCAATCGAATTCAGCAGATTGAAACAGCTCAAAATTTGTATATCATTTTCGGCTCTTTGGGATCAGATCGATCTCGATGTTCCTGAAAAAAAAACAGAGTTGAAAACGCATTATAAATTTAACGATTGGAATGAAATTTTCCTTATAATCTTTCGACAAAGCTTCAAAATAGAAAAGATAATTTGCTTTTAAAAACCTCATTCAATAAATCACATCCAATTAGTTTTTCCGATTGATGAAAATGTAATCAAAAAAGCATCCAACATTGATTTAATGGAACAGTCGAAACGCACAATCAACGACATTCATTTGTATTTTGTCTGCATTCTGGTGGCAGTGGAGAAAGTGCAAAAATCACTGCCATGATGTATCTACACAATCAAAAAGGGGGAACCACTTATAAGCTTGACTATTAAGCGGGCATCTGTTCACTTTACCTTGACATTGTGATATTAGTTGCTCAGATATGTAGATAAACCACTCATTTTGCTTGATTTACGAGATTTCTCCAAGTTTTTACCAGTGTTGGTTACGGTATAAACTCAGTTCCGTGCGAATAGAAAGGATATTGCTTAAGTATGATGCATCAAGTAAGTTTTTTTATTAACCCAACAAGATATAGGGAAAATATGTGGAATATGTGGGCAAACTACTCTGTGAATTCATCCTTAATTTTTCAAAAAATTGCATCCAAACTCTTTGTTCCATCTGTTTCGCCAAGCTCCACTTAGCCCACTTGCATGCAACAAAACGCCAATTATTCTAATTATCATTAATTAATTTTCTCTTTCAGTCATTGTTCATCTGCTGCCTAACTGTCGCTTTAGTATGGGGGCAAAGGAGCCCCAAGTCCATTGGCTTGCAGCCCAGAATGGGCTACTCTTCCAGCATTATACATCAGCACCCTGGTGGAAGCGATCAGCATGCGGAAAGCTCCATTCAAGTCGATTTCCACGGTTTCCAGGCATTTGGCAGCGAAAAACGACCATTGACTAGAAACTCGTTTTCGAATGAGCCCAGCCAGGCCTTCAATGTTGGGTACGATTTGAGCTTCAATAAAAACGACTACAAGCCGAAAGCGTTGAAAGAGCATCGATACACTAATGTGGACGTAAAAAAGTTTGAAAATGCTGAAGTGATTACTGGCAGACTGAAGCTGAATGAGAAAGTACGAGCGCCCGCTTCTGGGTCTGAGCAGCCTCAAGCTTTGGCTTTCCAAACCAGCAAAAAGCTATTGGGTTCCTCTAAGGCCAGATACGCAACGCCTGTTCATGAGCAGTACCCGCAGTACCCAAGCCAGTCGCCTACTTTCACCTACAATACTCAGCAGGCCATTTTCAGAGACGTGGTCCAAGCTACCAGGCCGGAGCCTATTCAGCTAAGTCCGGACCTCAGAAGCTCTTACCAAGCCAATACCAAGTGGAACCAAGCGCCAATATCAGCACATGTGGGGCGATCCCGATCGGGCGAACCACTTGGAAACTTCAATCATGATGTCGCCCTAAGAAACAGCGAGTCTTTTGACTTCAGTCACGCTCAAGGTGAAATGAGCTTCGGCAACAAAAGTCCTGCTACGGACAGTTTTTCTGCTGCATCTGAGCATGTTCCAGCTGCAGCCAGCGATTTGAATAACCTGAACATTGAGGCGCATATTCCGAAGAATCTGCGAGGTGTTAAACCGCTTCCTCTGGATACCAGCCTGCTAAAAGACCCCGTTCTCACTACTTCAGCTAACAAGGACGCTTCCACTAAATACGGTCGAGTTATTCCCATTCATTTCGATATTCGTCCTTTGAAGAACGTTGCGCAAACCGGACTGGATAAAGCCTATGGAAATTATGGAAATTTTCCTGCCCCCAGCCCGGAAAGTTTGACCTATGAGGTAGGATCTTCCAATGGTGCAAATTTGCGGATGTATGGAAGCCCGGAACCCAATGGAAATTTAGGAAACGGGTTCATGAATGGAAGGGACGATGTCTATAAGATCACCTCAATAAGGCCTCCGCCTATCGGCCGGAATTTTCGCTATTAGAAATTTTTCCAGACTGATTTTTTAAATCTAAGTATCGGAGTTTGTTGTGGATGTATTTATCAAATTAGTTTTTTTAATAAAATATTTTTAATTTGCTAATGAAGGGTTTTAAGTTAATTTAGATAAAAATTTCAACGGTTTGGTATTGTTTACAGCATTTGCACAGGTAGGTCCAGGTTAAATTTCACTAATTTTACTGTGCACTTTAGCAAGAAAGCCCAGAAGGGTTTTCATCTTGCCTACTAAATGTAAAATTAGATATTTTCTTTCAGAAAAATCGTTTACGTCCAACGTTTTTACGTCTGGAAATTATTTAATGTTAGATATACGGTTAATTTCCGTTGTGAATTTTAGGCGGAAAACGACAACGAGAGTTTCTGTACTTCACTGAATGTAGAATTCGGGAATAATTTTTTTCTTACTCAAAAACCATCAGCGTGCACAATTTTTCTGCTTGGAAATGATAAAATGTTCGACTACAGATTTTAACTATTATATTTACTATTTTTACTACAATTTTCTCAGACAATTCAAGTTTTTATTTTGTAAACCATAAACTGAGCATTTTACCTGAAAAAGTAAATTAGCTTTTTCGTGCTTCACTTAATGTAGAATTTTAAAATAATGTTCGTTTACAGAAGAACCATTGGCGTGTACTGATTGTCTGCTGGAAATTTTTAAATTATTGATAAAGCGTTAATTTCCTCAGATAATCCAACAACAGTTTTCCTTTTCTTACCAGAAACTGTGCATTTCAGCCGGAAAACTAAAACGAGCTCTTTTGTACTCCACTGAATGTGGAACTGGAAAATAATTTTTGGTTATTGAAAAGCCATCAGCGTGCATCATTTTTCCGTTTGGAAATTATCAAATCTTCGATATAGAGTTAATTTTCTCGGACAAAGAGTTTTTATTTTTTAAACCAAAAACTGGGCATTTTGCCCAAAAAATGCAAACGAGCTTTTTTCTACCCCATTCAATCTAGAATTTGAAAATAGTCTTGGCTTGCTGAAAAACCATTGTCGTGCACCGTTTTCCGGGTTGGAAATGATCAAATATTGAATATTGATTGATTAGAAAAAATTGTATATTTCCAGCGTTTTTACGCCTTGAAATTATCTAATGTTGGATATAGCGTTAGTTTCCATTGTGCAATTTAGGCGGAAAACTATAACGAGCGTTTTTGTACCTTTACACTGAATGTTGAATTCGAAAATAATTTTTCTTACTGAAAACCAATTTTTCTGATTGGAAATGATCAAATGTTCGATTATAGATAATTTTCTGACAATCCAACAGCTTTCATTTTTAAACCAGAAACTATGCGTTTTACCCTTTACCCAAAAATTGCAAACGAGCTTTTTTGTACCCCACTCACTGTATAATTTGAAAATAATCTTGGCTTACTGAAAAACCATTGTCGTGCACCGTTTTCCAGCTGGGAAATGATCAAATATTAGATAAAGAATTAATTTTGTCTAGAATCCAACAGTTTTCGTTTTCTAAATAAAAAATTTGTCACTTTTAGCAAAAAAACCCCAAAAAATGGTTCGGTGCCAACTGAATGTAAAGTAAAGAATTTTTTGTCAATTGTTTACCTCCAGCGTTTTTACCTCTGAAAATTATCTAATGTTAGGTATAGCGTTGGTTTCCGTTGTTCATGTTAGGCGAAAAACGACAAGTGTTTTTGTACCTTTACACTGAATGTTGAATTCTAAAATAATTTTTCTTACTGAAAAACCATCAGCGTGCCCCATTTTTCCTCTAGAAAATTATCAAATGTTTGGTTACAGAAAATTTTTTCAGACATGTCAAGAGTTCTTACTTTTCAAACCAGAAACTGAGCATTTTACCTGAAAAAGCAAATAAGATTTTTGTACTTCACATAATGTAGAATTTGAAAATAGTTTTCAGTTATAGAAGAACCATTGGCGTGTACCGATTTTCTTATGGAAATTATCAAATGATTGATAAAGCGCTAATTTCTTCAGATAATCCAACAACAGTTTCCCTATTCTTACCAGAAACTGTGCATTTTAGTCGAAAAAAAACGAGCGTTTTCGTACCTCACTAAATATCAAATTCGAAAATAATTTTTGGTTATTGAAAAACCATTAGCCTGCACCATTTTTTGCTTGGAAATTATTAAATGTTCGACATACAAAAAATTTTCTCGGACAATCCAAGAGAACCAAAAACTATGAGCTTTACTCAAAAAATATGAACGAGCTTTTTTATACCTCACTCAATGTAGAAGTTGAAAATAATCTTGGCTTACTGAAAAACCATTGGCGTGCAACGCTTTTGTGCTTGGAAATGAACAAAGATTAGATATAGAGTTAAAATTGTCAGTTGTAGCAAAAACCCCAACAGAGTTTTTTTGTTGCCCAATGCATGTAAAATTAAAATTTCACTTTTGTTTGCAATTGTCCACACTAATGGCGAGCACCGTTTTTTTTTATCTCGAATGTAACAACTGTTACAATTAAAGTTAATTTTGGCGGACAAATCGACGGTTTTGAAGAATAACTGCATAATAACAAAGAACCTCGGGAAAGGTTTTTGCTTTTTGCTCCCCACTGAATGGCGAATTCGAAAGGAATTCTTGTTTGCAGGCATCAGGGTACACCATTCAACATTTTGTTGTTTTTAACAAATGTCACATTTCTTCTTGATATTGTTCACCTATTAAAATTAATAACGATCAACCTGAACACCCCTGCAAAGTTCGGAAAACTTTTGCTGATTTAATTCCATTAATCTATTGATATAAATGTCTCCCATTGATGGACAATTTATAGCGGAACCTCCTACTATCAAGATTAAGACTTTCCAAAGGCTAAGTTGTGTTTTTTTAAAATAAATCTTCAATTCAAGCTATCCAGACTTTATTTAACCACAAGGCGATCGCTGGCAGTTACACAATGGGATCAGAAGTTATTCGACAATAATTCTAATGAGAAATTTATCATCCCCCAGATGAATAGAAAATAAGAACAAAAGAGAAGTTTAAGAAAATTAGGGGAGGCGCAGAGTCAGCCGAACTCGTTTCGTAAAACCGGCAGAATTGTCGCGTCGTAATTTTAAATTCTCTTCTGCTCTCTGAGGACTAATGACAAATAATTTTCGCCCTATAATTTCCCGGATATTTAGCGCGATCTTCAAGTAGGGAAGGATTCAAACCCCTGAATCCCCCAGCTTCGGGTTGGCGTTTACGTAATGAAAAACCCATAATTTACACAAAAAAAATTCAAAAATCCATAAGGGTTTACTCATCTAAAAACTATAGGTAGTATTATTTATTTGCGCAGAATTCTAGCTGTATAGCTTCGCTGTTACTACGCACAGCTCAACGGATAAAATAACAAAACGGAGCGAACGTTAACCACATTATCGCGGAATTGTGTTTGTTGTGCGCTATTTATTTTATGCACTGTTTCCACAAGACCTGCTTGTATTTTGTTTCCATGTTTCCATACACTTCAAAATATTTCTATGTAGATTTGCATGTACGCCAACAATAGCTGCAATTGCCTGAAATAGAGGCATCGTCTCCTAAAACTAAAATGCATTTAGAACTCAGTTCCGGAAGAGAAATAATGATAATATGAAGCTCGGTTATTAAACTGGAAATACGGTTTTCAGGCGATAACTTTTCTAAGTTAGATGTAATTTTTCCATATATTCAAGGCGCCAAAGAGCGGCTCTATCTTTAATCGACGATATTTTCACTTTTCTTCACTCAAACACTTTACATACCTGTACATCTATTAAGTGACCAAGGGCGGCCACCTCGCATGAATAACTTATTCGTGCGGGTATTGAATAATTTGCATTAGCAAATCAGCCCGTTTTTCAAGCTGACGTGGCAAATTTGCATTCTAATTTATTCCCTTGAAAGAAAACCCTGCTTCAATAAACATTCCACTAACGAAATTGCAGGTTTTGTCTGTTTCTCGTTTGCATCTCCGCCTGCACAGCCTAAAGGAAAACTGTGGAATTTTATCAGAAATGGAGGATTTCTAGGGAAAATTCCGTTAACCACCTCAGTTTATAGAGATAACTGCAAAAATAGAGCAGGACGACTTGTGTTGAAAACACGAGACCATTAAGAAAGAATACTTTTTCGTTTGCGTTTCACGAAAAGTTCTGCAGACATAGAGAGTGAAAATAAGTTAATCTCGTCCCTTCCAGTCGATATTTTTGGGAAATTGCGTCCGCCCTTTGGCATTAATGGGTCGGTATCAGTGCGAAGCAGACAGGGTCTCGAAAACACTAATGCAATTAAGACGGTCTTGCAACAATAACGTTTCCGTCCCGAAATCGGAGCCAGTAATGGCGAGAATCCTTTACGTTGGAATTGGAAAGTCCGCTCTAATGTTCCTCATTGAGCGGGCATTATAAATTTAATCAGTTTCGGATGAAATGCGGTTGGTAACGAACGTTCAAAATTTAATTAGCCAAACTAATTTGCCTGGTACCCACCAGCCTCTGTTTCCATCTCTTTACTTTCCAGCCAAACTAATTGCTGGCACTCTATGAATCTTTGGAAAACTCACTTTGTTTTGGTTCCTGCAATGCCCTGGCTTCGAAGTTTCCTTTATGTTAAACCGGAAATCGGCATGAAACACTGAAGGCGCTGACACGCAATTAAGTTCGCTCTTGTTTAAAGTGAGAACAAAAGATTTTTATAGGTTTCAAAGTTGATTTCCTAGTGAAAGAATATTCAGAAATTTCCAGTTATCATAGTTTTTTGCGATTTCGCGATCACCCACACCCACTGAGAACATTAAACAGCATCAACTGCGACTATCCAAGTTTTGGAGCAACTTGGACGAATGAGCTTTTAAAATAATGTTACCAAAATACTTTGAAAGTTTGCTGCTCTTTAAAATTTTCCAATCGTTAATATTCAATTTAAATCATGGAAATTGTTTCAATGCCTCCTCCTCCGAACGTACCGAATTAAGGCCTGACAAGCTTTCCCTGGCAAATATTTGCGTTGCAATATAGTTCGAGAACACCGGGATTAAGTTTAAAATTCGAAATTAATTAAAAGTGTCTCCGTGCCAGGATTTACCTCTTACCTCGGCACAAG